AAATACCATAAAATGTTCTAGGACTTAACAAATTATAAAGAAGCATCCAATGAACATAAAATTAGTGTGTCTACAGAAAAAAATATTATTTATTAGCACCAGAAAACCAAAATAGATTTTTTTTCTGGTTGTTTTGTTAGGTACAGCCTTGATTGAAGGAGGTACCCCATTTGAGAAAAGCAGTAGGTGCACACACAAGTACACCCCCTTTACAAGACAGCTTATGCACTGAATCATGACCACCTGCCTCACGAACTTTCAGCTCAAAGAGGTTGACCTTAGTCTCATCTATTTTCTGGGCAAAAAATTGCTTCTTGATCTCCTAGCTACATCTTTTTCAAATGTTCCCTTTTGTTATTATTATATCTTGTTTTCTATTCCTTACAATGATCTGGAATGAGTAATTTCAGTTTTTTTGTTCTCTTTTGAAAGAAATTTAATTTATATAAAAAAACCTATGGTAAATAAAATTACACAGTACTCACAGTTTTACATAATTTTTCACTTTCCGTTTAGCAAGGTACATTGAATTATTCTTTGTAAAATTGTACATGATCATTTTATGAATTGTTTTATAATCAGTCATAGCTAATTCCATCAGAACATGGAGTTAGCATTTATCTTATACCACATTTCCTTGCTTTTGTTCACGTTTGATTAGATCTCTCCTGTTTTCTCATCATTTCGATGGGTCCTTAGAAACCATGAACAGTGATGAACCCATGACTATTCATTTAATCTTTACACCATTAATGAATGAACAGAACATTGGTTTTTATACTCATCTGTGAACATGGCACCATTAACCTCCTTCTAATTTGAGCACAGTGCCGCCTTACCACCTGATACCTGGCAGAATAAACTGAAATGAAGTAATGATCAATCAATCAAAAACACCCTTTGACAATTGCTGTGCACCTGCCTATACTGTGCTGGACGGTAGGAGGGTAGAAAAGTAGGTCACACGTCTTTGTAGCTTGAGAATTTAGCCTTTGGTTCTACGAGCTCAAGAATAAGATACTATACCAGCTTATAACTTTAATTTTAAATAGCAGAAATAACAGCATATGTCTTGGAATAAAAGTAGACTCAGATATAGTTTCAGTAAGGATTTTAGAGTAAATAAAAGATAATTTAGATGGAAAGCAACACGATCCATTTCGATGGACAAGAAAAGGAGATGGAACTCATTCATTGACTTTGAAATTCATTACGTCATGCAGAGTTTCTGTAGCACATTCTCTACTATGAAAAGCAGAATAGAAGCGAATATGTATCAGGAAAATGCACAGAGCTATCCATGTAGAAACTTTCAAGAATTTAGGTAAAGTCAGATTGTAAAATCTTGTAGTTTCAAGTTTCTGAAAGCTTGGACGAGACAGATGATCACTAACATATCACCTAAGTAAGTCTAATACAGGACTCATGTTTCTTTTTAAATTGACTACCTTAGTTTCAAAAGACACATTGTCCCTTACAGTCTTTCCCATAAACAGCTGTCAAGTTGGAAACAAGAGACTTCTACTGAACATATATATATATATATATTGGCAATGACAGCCTTTGAACATCTCAGCCATGATTTTAAGGCCTCATATACTGTGATGCCACCAAATCGCTCTTAGCCGCCCTTTGTGTTCTATGACTTCATGTGTTTCTATCAGCAATGCACTCTTACGTCTCCATGGGAGATTTCTGGATTCCTATTTGCCTCTCATCTTAGTGACACTTCTTTGGCACAGTTGGAAATATTCCCTCTGTGCTTTGAAGTTCGCCTTCTCCACCACACAGGTGACATTTATAACCTGCTTACTTTGAAGTTGGTTTCACAAGATGTAAATCTCTTTAGAGAGTCTCAGAGTCTTGGAGTGGGCAGAGGACAGAGCACATTTATTTCATCCGGAAGTAAACATGTGTTTAGTGTGAGTGTAGGGCCAATCAGGAGTGACATATGAGAACGTTAGTGACAAAGAAATACACAAGTGAAGCTGAGTAGTTTGTCCAATAGCTGGAGGAGTCAAACGTCCAGGGATTTGAAGATGGGGATGAGAAATTGAAAAATTTTCCAGCATTTGAAAACGGAGATGAGAAAAATTTTCCAGTGTCCACCAATGCTGTTAATTTCTAGACTTGTCAGAATGTTACTTCAAAGGAGAAAGGGATAACTGAACCTTGAAAAAACATGATGTCATCTCTTGTCTGAACTAATAAGATGCGGAAATGAGAAAAATTAAAGCTTGTTTTGGACACGTGTGCATGCATATGCATGCAGCATTGATTTTGCCATGTTAGGCAGAATTGGCATTTGAGCTGGACAATTTGATTTATTAAAAAGTAATCTCCATGTCATGTCCGGGGTGACGGCACAATGAGCTCTACAATATCCTCTTCTTCTTATAAAGAGATTGTACAACATGATGAAGATGAGGGATGAGGGATGAAGATGAGGGATGTGGGATGAGGGATGAAGATGAGGGATGAAGATGAGGGATGAGGGATGAAGATGAGGGATGTTGAAAAGGAGGAGTGATGAAATTTTTTCCAAGGCATCCATCCCCATGCCAAGCAGATTTGGAATCCTGACCCTAATCCCTCCCAGGAGCCACACCCCATTTCAGACCTTTGATTAAGTGGAACAAGTAGAAAGATCTTTTTCAACTCCAAACTGCCTGTCTTCAGCTGACTTTGTTACTCCATTTTCTTTGCATAAAACCAAGATTATGTTTAAAAATTGAAACGTTCCATCCATCTGGATAAATTTGAATTACTAGTCCTGGAAGTTTTCCTTATGTCAGGCAAAATATTTAATCTCCCTGGGCTTTGGCTAATTCACAAATAATAGAGATGATTACTAATAATTTCTGCAGAATAGTGAAGGCATAGCAAGGAAGGGGTTTCCTTTCTTCTTCCACAACCTCCCATATAGACAAGGGCACTTCAAGAAACAGATCAAACAGCAACATTCCGGCCAAATTGTTGATTTGTGCAGTTTCTCTTCACTAAGAGAATACCAGATGTGTACAAACTATTTTTATGTTTTATAAGACTGAGTGAGGAAAATTTTTCTGACCTAATTGCTGTTTTTGCATATAATTACTGAAAATCCCAAGTTAAATTATGTGTATTGACTGCAAGAGGCTATGCCATAGCTGAAGCTTGGCTTTCACGTGCGTTTTCAGTATGCAGGCTGTCTGTCATTCTCCGTTTACTAGGGATAATTAGATGGCCTCTTTATAATCAAAAGATAGTAATTTGGAGATAAAATTTCAGCTTTATGATGCTTCCCCAAAGAGAATACCTGCATCATCTTCACCACTTGAATTTATTTATGTGAGGTGTATACTTATCAACTGCAGTTGACTAATTCTGAACATCATGCTAATCACTTATTCATAATTGTTAGAACAGAAGTTCCTCTTCTCCTATTTTATGTTCTCTGGTCTTTGTCAGCTGTTGTCTTGGTTACCAGTGGTCAACTGAGGGCTGGAAATACTAAATGTAACATTCCAGAAGTAAACGATTCATAAACTTATGAATTTATGAATGAGCGAATACTGTTCTGACTGGTGAGACGAATTATTGTTCACTTTGCTCTGTATCCCAGGGGATGCAGCTCACTTTTCTGCCCATCACATCCATGCAGTTTGTGCAGCCTGCTTCTCAGTCACTAACATGTCATCATGGTGGCCAGATACACTGCTGTATCTATGTACTGCCACAATTCACTCCAGTTACTCTGATGTAGAAATTCAACTCTGTGTCACAATACTTGCTTCCTTTATTTCCCTTTATTGCATTATGGAGGAAATATCATTGCATACTGCAATAAGACTAAAGCTAATTCATATATATAGAATATAAGTACAGTACTTTGAGACAAAGGGACCAAATTCTTATTGTTTTAATTACCACCTTTCTACTTCATTATTAACTGCTACTTCTTTACTATAGGTGTGTACACACAGGAAAATATAACATTCATAGAAATCAGTGTTTCCAGGAACCCACTGGGGTCTCAGAAGACATTCCTGGTGGACAGGGGGATCTGTTCCTTTTAAAAATTGTTTTGTGTTTTTCAGGAATAATGGCATAATAACCAAGGAGGCATATGAGATCCTTTCACACATGTGAACAGTTTTAAGTGACCATAAACGCCACTGGTTAAAAATGTTCTCAAAATAACTAGTTAGCATCTGTGGCTGGATTATAAATTTTAATCAGCACAGGAGGCCATCCCGAGGTACAGTTCTACCTGCTTTCTCTGTTCTGAAGTTCCTGACCTCACTGGTAACAGTTTCTCACTCCCCTCTCGGGGACACATTTCAGACAGAAGTGTGAGCTGCACTGTATGCCCGTGACATTTAGGCTCCTGCAGAATTTACCTGGTGTAAAAGCTTCATCTACATGGGCTCAGATGAGGAATACATTTTTATTTTCCAGTTTAGGTGCTGACTACTGCAGACTAAAAACTACCCTCTGTTTGTTTTGAATGTGAGTGGTTCAGTAGTTCTCTCTCTCTGTATGTGTGTGTTTGTGTATACGCATACTTCTGTAATATGCATTTTCAATGACTGTACACTACTTATTAGTTAACAGAACTAAACTGAAAACGTGCAAGTGGCAGCTATGGGCTCATGACATTTGAAGGGCAAGAGTCAAATAACTAGTGTATTATCATCTCACTGAGATATCAAACACTACCAAGTCCTTGTCATACACAACTCCATTTCAACTTCTTTGCCCTTGATTTTCTCTCTCTGTTCCCTTCCGTGTCCTACCCTTTGTCTCTTGACTGTCTGATATACTTACCTTTCCTTCTTTCCTGTTTCTCCCCTCCCTCCCTCCCTCCTTCCCTCCCTCCCTCCCTCCCTTCCTCCCTCCCTCCTTCCCATTCTTGCTACTGACTCTTCCTGTTTCTTTTCTGCTTCCTCTCTCTCTGCTGGTGGCTTTGCTCTTTTGAAACCACTCATGGGATAACACATGACAGGACCCTTCCTTACCGGGATGAAGATGTAGGCTCAGTGGTTTGTCTTTGCACACGAGCATGTTTAATCAAATGCTCCTTTAGAGCCGTCTGAACTTCCGCTGGGATGTCAGGGGATGTGTGGCTGATTTTTATTGCAGGCTCAATAGCTTTTGGCGTTGGCTTTTCATTTTCTTCTACTTCTTTTTTCTCTTCAGTCTCAAAAACTTCCGTTGGAGCACTTGAGATGCTTTGTGGAAGGGCACTGACATGGGGAGCCACAAGCTTGCTCTTCCAGCATGGCCAACACAACTTCCAGAAGACGAAAAGGGAGACAACCAACAAGGCTAGGCCACAGAAGCTTACGACAACTGCTAATAGGCTGACTGAAATATCTGGAAAAAAATCACAACCGAGAGAAATATCAATAGGCATTATAAATTAGAAGCAGAAATAGCAATACAAATGGGAAGTTATCAACTGGGTTCAGGAAACACATGACATACGCATGTCATACTCGAGCACACCACAAGAGATTCAAGATTTTGCAAGTGATAAGTGGCCAATTTACCTCCTGCCACAAAGCCAGAAGGTTACACTCCAAAGCTGTGTATAATAGAAACTATTTACTTCCTCTTCCATTGAATGATCTCTTTCCCCTTTCTATGCAGAGAACAGCATTAAGTACTGGGCTCATCTTTATTCTAAGTAAGAAAAGCACCATGCTATGAGAACATAATAAGGCTTTCAAACTCAGCAAGTCTTTTCTAATAATTTTGTATGTATGCACTTTTAAGTTAGTATGCATACAATTTTAAGTTCCAAGTTAATAAATGAATTGGGCGATCATCTGAATGTCTGTGCTCTCCTAAAACTCTTAGGTTTAAATCTGAAATCCCAAGGCAGGCGATGTCATTGGGATGCGATGGTTAACTTCAATTCCCCTGCCTGAATTTAGATTATAAAGCAGACCCCTGGGTGTGACGATGGGCTTTTCCTGATAGGACTAACTGGAGGGGGTGGGTGATGAACTCCCTAGAATGGTAATGACAGTCTCATTGTCTAGAGACATAAATAAACAAATAGGAAATAAAGAAAACGTCAGGTGAGATTTGACATTCTTATTTTGTTTCTTGCCTCAACATGAGGAACTGAAACACAAAGTAAACCATTCTTTTTCTCAACTTGTTCTCTCAGATATAAACACCATGGTAATGGGTGCTAACACATAGAAGACACAGCCTTTGGGGAAGGAACTAGGTCATGAGGGAAGAGCCTTTGTGGATGGGATTATAATTCCCTTTAAGATGGGCCCAAGGGGGCTTTTGTGTCCTTCTACCACACAGGGCTATGGAAAGTAGTTTCCAGTTATGATCCAAGAATAAAGCTTAACTACAATGTGCTTCCTCTAAAATGTGTGGATTAGAAGGTCAGTTCTTCAATGCTAGTGCTGGGAGACAGGACCTTGGGGGAGGTATGCAAGTGATAAGGATGGAGCGTCCTGGCGTGACTCCACTCTGACACTGGAGTTTTACCTCTCTGGGGACTAGACTACTAGGTTAGAGAGAGGACTTGTAAAAGAGCAAGCCTGCTCCTTGCTTTGCATCGTTAAGGGTCTGTTGTGAGCCCAAGTGGCAGTAGGACCTCACGAGGTGGAGGTAGACTTACCAGCCTCCGGATGATGAGTCAAAACGAATCTCTTACCTTCACAACTTATCCAACCTTAGGTATTCTCCAGTGGTAAAAGAAAACAAAGACAGGCTCCCATGAGCTACTAAAATCTGCCTGTAACTTAATCCTGAACTTCCCAGTCTGCAGACTCTGAGAAACATATTTCTGTTCTTTATATGCTGCCCAGTTAATACTGTTTTGCAATAGCAATCTGAATAGGTTAAAATATTGTTATTCAGGAATTTAAAAATATATACATTATAATAATTGTAGTATGAATATATGCTTATCATGTAAAATGATAGAGACACAGTTTAAAGGTTGAGGCTGAATAAACAGATAAATGGAGAAAAGCATCAAGGTTCCCTTTGGAAGACTTCTAAGCAGTTTATGTGCAAAGTCTACTCTTCAGGAGGAAGCAAGGAAGTAAGGAGAAGCTCCTTACTTCTTTGGTGTGGGCTGCACACCTTCATAGTGATATTCTCCCCAAGAGTACTACTGACAGTGACGGTGATGGAAATCCACAGTGATGACCTGTGGTCACAGTATCCAACCTTGGCATGGGATGATGTAAGTGGTTCTTTACTTCTGTAGCCTTCATGCCTCATTCTAATAGTCCAAGTTAATCATGATAAAAAAAATTCAGACAAGTTCTGAGAAGTAGACATTCTAAATACACCCAACCAGTACTCCTATAGATCATCAAGGTCATCAGCAAAAGTTCCGGAAAAAATGTCCTAGTTAAGGAGCACCTAAGCTGACTTAACAACAAATGTTCTAGATCATGTTGGATAAGGTCCTGGAATAGTTAAAGGCCATTAGCCGAAGGTGAAGGAAAGCCCAAAGAAAAAGGTATGGGCTTTAGTTAATCTCCCAATTACAGTGTATGGATAATAACTAATGTGTCATTTCAATGTAAGGCATAAGTATTAGGAGAAACTGAACATGGATATGATGAGAGTCTGTACTATGTTGTTTTTCCATAATTCTGAAACTGTTAGAAAACATGAAGTCTAAACAAACACAAATTAATCTTCACATTACCCATTTCCGTCTTTCTAAAGTGACCTAAACCAGCCACGTGGCATTGTAGCATTATTTGAATTTTTAATGTCAAATAGATTCTCAATAAAAGATAAATTGTCTAGATTTGATTAACCTTATACTTTTCTATTACCAAATTTGTTTACCCTCAATATCAAATATAAATCCAATTTCCTCTGTTTAAGCAAAAATGTTAGGAATATATCACTGATTGTGTCTGTCTTTTATCCCTTTCTAAATTTATCTCTTGATGCAATAACTTTAAAATATGACTTTATTTGAGAAAAGCAACTTTTAGCAATTTTGGTAAAATCAAGTAATATGATCCAGCCTTACCCACTGACACATTTAAAGAGGAGGAGAGGTGAGGGCACAGGATACGTCCAGATGGAAAAATCACATAAAGACATGGGATAGGATGGTCGTCCTGGCTGTCTTAGTCAGGGTTTCTCTTGCAGCGACAAAACACAATGACCAAAAAAACCCCAAATTGGACAGGAAAGGGTTTACTCACCTATTCCTTATCACTATTCATCATCAAAGGAAGTCAAGATAGGAACTTAAGCAAGGAGGAGCCTGGAGGCAGGAGCTGAGGCAGAGGCCATGGAGGAGTGCTGCTTGCTGGCTTGCTCTCCATGGGTTTGCTCATCCTGCTTTCTTATAGAATCCAGGACCACTATCCCAATGGTGTCCCCACCTGCCATAGGCTTGGTGCCCTCATCAATCACTGATTAAGGAAATGTTTTACAGGCTGACTCTACAGTCTTAGAGAGGCATTTTCTCAGTTGAGGTTCCCTCCTTTCAGCTGACTATAGTTGGCATCACTTGATATAAATCTAACCATCACATTGGTCAAGGACAGCAGTCTCAACCCTGCCAACACCTTGACCTCAGACTCTAGTTGCCTGGATGGAGAAGTAAGTTCCTGTTCTTTAGGCCATCCATTCTGGAGTATATTTTTATGACAGTCCCAGGACACCAAAGCAGAGTAGTTTCAAATTCTTTTAAACATGGTTGTCGTTACATTGTGCTACAATCTTTGGAATTAATCACTGACACTAACTGGATGCATATGTCTAAGCCTGGCACTTATAGACAAAATGTATTTTGTAAAAATTTTAAATATTTATAATTACAAAATAATATTTTATATAAATTATTTGCGACAAAATTCTTCCTTCAGTTTACCTTTTCCCTCAGTAATGGATTATAACTTCACGTTGATATAATTTTCTATAATAATTAATCGTAACAGATATATAGCTTAAGCCCAGCTTGGGAGTGTAACACAGCTACATTGAGCATCTTTGTATCTTTCTTCTTGTTTGTGACTAATATTCTAAAAATGAATTATTGGCATGGATTTTATATAGATTTAGTTTTACTGGATATTTTCATAGCTCCACTTGTGAAAGAGATGCCATATAGGTTACAAATTTCTACAATTTTAGAGAAATATTGTCTCTTAGTTTTTACTAATCTTCCAAAGCTTTGTTCTTTTTCCTAACTGAAATGGGAGACCATTTTCCAGTTTTCTTACTACTGCCTAATTATGATAGGCATTGATATTTCTCTATACTACTACAACAGCTTTCTATTTGTAGCCTATTGATAAGGAAAGCTTTTCTTCACATTTTAGAGTTTATATTTTTTACCGTTGTATTACATATTATCACCATAACTTGAGGAAAAGAGAAAATCGTGTGAGATTAAACCGCTTTCTGTCTATTAACTATGTTTTACAAGATGAATAAAGATGATGACATGTCTGTTAGGCTTTCAAAGTATTCCCCAAGGTTTTTATCTTGGAAACATCAACACAAAAGCAGTTGGGCTGGGAAGTGCTGCCATATAAGAGGGGCCATAGTCAAGAGGGTCAGTCCATAGTTCAGTCATGGATTGATGTCATTCCAAGAGTGGTTAGTAACTGAAGGGTAATTGTTCGACTTGCGAATTATGGCCCAGCACGAAGGCCCTTGATATCAAATTTCTTAGTTTTAGAACTATGAAGAGAGTCTTTATTTACCAACTGTGTAATCTGGGTTATTATTGGAGTAACATAAAGACAGATCCAACTCTGTGGTCTTAATTCACCTTAATCAATGGTACCTTAGTTTATAAGGTACCATTTACCTTATATTATTCTGTACACTTTAAAACTAAAGTTCTCACAAGTTATTCTAACAAAATTGGTGCCAAGAATGAAGATGGAGACCCCACAGGATTATGTGGGATTTCAGTGGTCATTGGCAATATCTCTCCTTTTCCTTTGAGCAGAACATCCTGTAGCAGCACTGTTCCAGAGAGAAGGCTTTGACATTCAAAGTACTAATTTAGTATTAATTCACAGCCCTATGTAAACCTGAGAATGTTTTCTATTTTTTCTTCTACCATTTTTTTCTTTCTAAAATATCACAACAATTTGGGAGCCATTAAATACTTCTGCAAACCACCAGAACACTCTGATAGTGATCTGTTACACTATCAGCACAAACAAGACAGCAGAAAGCAGCAAGTCTTGTTTTAGCATCTGAGATGTTTGCTCACTCCATCCTCTTAGTCTCATGTACCTCTTGATGAACCCAGACTTTTCTGGACATCTGATAGTGCCTCTGGGCTTCTGCCTCTGGCTTTGGGCCCAGCTTCGCTGTCTGTTCTTTATTCTGATCAGTGTTACTTG